AGCAGAATGTTTCCACCACCATGTCTGACAGTTGGAATGGTGTTCTTGGGGTCATAGGCAGCATTCCTCCTCCTCCAAACACAGAGAGTTGAGTTGATGCCAAAGACCTCAATTTTGGTCTCATCTGACCACAACACTTTCAACCAGTCCTCCTCTGCATCATTCAGATGTTCAGTGGCAATTGTCAGAGGAGCCTGGACATGTGCTTTCTTAAGCAGAGGGACCTTGCGGGCACTGCAGGATTTCAATCCTTGTCAGCGTAGTGTGTTACCAATAGTTTTCTTGGTGACTGTGGTCCCAGCTGCCTAGTGATCATTGACTAGATCCTCATGTGTAGTTCTGGGATGATTCCTCACTGTTCTCATGATCATTGACACTCCACGAGGTGAGATCCTGCATGGTGCACCAGACCTAGGGAGACTGACAGTTGTTTTGTGTTTCTTCCATTTGCAAATGATTGCACCAACTGTTGTCACCTTCTCACCAAGCTGCTTGGCGATAGTTTGGTAGCCCAGTCCAGCCTTGTGTAGGTCTACAATTTTGTCCCTGACATCCTTGGACAGCTCTTTGGTCTTAGCCATGGTGGAAAGTTTGGAATCTGATTGTTTGATTGCTCTGTGGACAGGTGTCTTTTGTACAGGTAACAAAATGAGATTAGCAGCGCTCCCTTTAAGAGACTGCTTCTAATCTCAGCTTGTTATCTGTATGAAAGAAACCTGATAGCCAGAAATCCTGCTGAATGATAGGGGATCAAATACTTATTTCCCTCATGAACATGCAAATCAATGCATAATTTGTTAGACATGCATTTCTTTTGAATTTTTTGTTGCTATTCTGTCTCTCAGTGTTACAATACACCTACCATTCGATTTTTAGACTGATCATTTCTTTGTGAGTGGGCAAACATTCAAAATCAGCGGGGGATCAAATACTTATTTCCTTCACTGTATGTACACTCTAGGCATTGTAAAACCGCTTCAGCGGTGAGTGACAGTCTCACCACACGCTTCCCCACATAGAACTTCCGCAATAGCAGTCATGTGATTGCACCACATGGTCCCGTGAGCGTGCCGACATCACGGATGGGCACGTCGTGACGCGTTTTGTCATTCTGACTTCCTCTGAGGGTGTGGCCATACGTGAGAACGAGCGGTCTTATAAAAGGTTGCTCGGTACATCATTGGTTGAACGATCAAACTACTTGCTGCCATCTAATGGGTAAAATCTATAATGCTCTCTGCACTGATACTTTTAACTTTATAACCAGATTAGTGACATATTCCCTCATAATTAATCCTAGCATAGCAACAATTAAACTAAATCAAATCTATCAATAAACTTAATTAAGTGTTCTTGCATGGCAAGACCACTTACTGTTATCTCACATATATATTCTTATTATTATAGCCAAATTTACCACCCTAACTCCTCCCACAGTTTTTACACTACATAGACAGTAATATACCGAAACGTGTGGATTGTTCCCGATTGGTGTGCTATTACTTTTTGGAACGTTTCGCCGAATGGTTCAGGAAATATCGGCGTTTTTGCAGTGAAATTGGTCCCATAGGAATGAATGGCGGAATGTTCAAAACTAGAGTGGGAGCTGACAAAAGCTAGAGTGTGAGCTGAAAAATTAGGACATGATTTCTAAACTGCCATCACTCCCTCATTTTCAAGCCCACCTACACAAATCTTATTTCTAAACGTTCAGCTATTCCTGCTGCCACTAAAAATGTCCACGGCTAAGCTATAGTCCTGATAATTTTCACAATATGACCATTTGTTTGCAACTCACGCCGCCCTTTGACATTCATTGAAACTCCACTCTAGCCACCTCAAATTTAAAGGGCAATTTCTAAACTGCGATTGTGCCTTCATTTGTAATATTTCAGAGACATACTATGCATCAAAATGTAGGTCTGGGTCTTGTGATTCTCACAATATAAATCTCTTCTGCGTAGGATTTATAATTTTTAAACTACAACTGTTTGAAGATGGCAACCGCCAGTGAAGTGAGCAAGTTGGAGCAGTTTGTTTTTAACCGCTCCTCTGCCCTTTCTGTAGAGTGAGTTGCCATAGGAACCCAGGTGTGTGAGCAGGCAGCAGAGTGACAAAAGCTAGAGTGTGAGTTGTAGACTACTGGTGGAGGCAAGAACACTTCACACAATTTCCCCAGAAATTGGAACTTTTCTAGTTAATAAAATAAATACACCAAATAAATTATCAATAATGACAATAATATTAAGACATAAAAAATAAACAATAAAAATTAATAATAATAAATCATAACAGGTTTCCTTAAGTATTCACCTTTATTTAATTGCGGGTATTTACGTTTTTTTTAATATATATATATATATATATATATATATTATATAAAAAAAATGTTTTTTTTTTTCAAAATTGTTGGTCTTTTTTTTTATAGCGCAAAAAATAAAAACCACACAGGTGATCAAATACCACCGAAAGAAAGCTCAATTAGTGGGAAAAAAAGGACGTAAATTTAATTTGGGTGCAGCGTTGCATGACTGTGCAATTGTCTGCTAAAGTAACGCAGCGCCATAACACACAAAAAATGGCTGGTCAAGAAAGGGGGTAAATCCTCAGGAGGGCAAGTGGTTAAAAAAATCCATCCAAAGGGTATCACTTACATGTTTAGCCGCCAGTCTCAGGCGAGAGTGGCGGCAGGACCTCTGGCGTATCAATAAAACCTCTCTACAGATGTTTAACGTGAGCGTTCATCATCAGGGACAGTCAAAAGATTGTAACAACCTCACTTAACCACTTCACATCCGACCCATGTACATAAACAGCTGGACGGGAGCAGTGCAGGAGTGGGTGGCCATTTATAAACATCCTCCCGCTTCCCTGCCTGTGCGCTCCCTGGGAGCTAGCGGCACCGCGATCTGGTGCCTGCTGTGTCTGGAGGACACAGCAGAACACAGATCGCTGTACGGGAACTCTGTGTGAGGTCCTGATCACATGAATAGTAGTAATTAAGCTGTCACTTCCTGACATCATTGCTTACTACTAGTGAAATCTATGAATGATCAGAGGCCACATGGTACAAGGCTATTCACAACAGCCTAGTACCATGTGACAAGCTGTGACCAATCACAGCTCTCACAGTATTTCTCAATGGCTGCAAGAATGCAGCCAGAGAGAAGGAGAAATGATTGCTTTTACAGCCTTTATGAGTATAAAAGCAATCAGTGTAAAAAAACAAAATCTTCATCACCCCCCACAAGTAGTACAGTGTCACTATGGTGACACTGTACTGCTAGGGTGAAAGTATGTTAAAAAAAAACCAAAAAAAAAAACCATACATAATAATATAAAAAAAATAAAAATGTAAAAAACAATTTTGAAAAATTATAATTTTTGGTTATAAACTAATTTTTTTTTTCTACTACAAAGATAACCGAATACATTTTGGCCAAGATTTATGAAGAAAGATTATTTATTTACAAACTTTTATAAGAAAAACTTTTTTTCTAAATTTTTGGACTTTTTCATTTATATGGTAAAAAAAATAAAAATCCCAGTGGTGAATAAATACCACCAAAATAAAGCTTTATCTGTCTCAAAACAAATGCTAAAAAAATTCATATGGGTACAGTTTTGCATGACCGCGCAATTGTCAAAGTGTGATAGCACTGAAAGCTGAAAATTGGTCTGGGCAGGAAGGGGGTGAAAGTGTTAAATAGTATGTCCACAATTAAGAATGATGTTCCGATGTCACTCCGGGAATCTCCGCCATCTTAGTGAAGTCATTGCTGGGAACGTGGAATACACCGACCATGTTAACATCCGAAGTTGGCGCTGTCTTAGTGATGTCATTTCTGGGGACGTGGAACGCACCGAGTTAACTTCTGATGTGGGCACCATCTTAGTGATGTCATTTCTGGGGACGTGGAACACACCACGTTAACATCCTGTGTCGGCGCCATCTTAGTAATGTCATTTCTGGGGATGTGGAACGCACCACGTTAACTTCCGGATGTCATTCCTGGGGACGTGGAACGCACCGCATTAACTTCCTGTGTCGGCGCCATCTTAATGATGTCATTGCTGGGGACATGGAATGCACCGCGTTAACTTCTGGCGTCGGCGCCATCTTAGTGACGTCATTTCTGGGGATGTGGAACGCACCGTGTTAATTTCCGAGTGTCATTTCTGGGGACGTGGATTGCACCATGTTAACTTCCTGTGTCAGCACCATCTTAGTGACCTCATTTCTGGGGACGTGGAACGCACCGCGTTAACTTCCGGTGTCGTCTTAGTGACATCATTTCTGGGGACAAGGATTGCACTGCATTAACTTCCGGTGTCGTCACCATCTTAGTGACATCATTTCTGGGGACGTGGAACGCACCGTGTTAACTTCCGGTGTCGTCGTCGTCTTAGTGACGTCATTTCTGGGGACGTGGAACGCACCATGTTAACTTCTGGTATCGGATCCATCTTAACGGCGTCATATCTGGTCCAGCGCTATTATAAAGAAGACCAAATAACTCCCAGAGTTCTTCATCTTTTGAGGCAGTTGCAGGCATCATCCCGGTATAACCACTTGAAGTCTGGCCAAGTCGGGATCTCTCCAGAGCCTGCTCGGGCTCAGTGACATCACCCATTATTGCTGATTAGGGTCACAGGAGTGCAGAACTAAGTGCATTACTGTGACCCGCAGAATTATAGCCAAGAGTTCTGGCCGTACTTCTCCTTTAATGGGCGGAGGAAGGACTGCTCATCGCTGCAACCATCGCTGCCTCCTGGTAGGAGCCTGGAAGCAGTAACATTGTGAGAGGGCGTGTCCACATGAGTAAATCCTGAATAGAGGACTAGCCACGTGACGTGAAAACACTGGAAGTCTCGCGGTGCTAGCGGGAGTATCTGTCAAGCTGTGGCAGACTAGGCGGGGCCTGAGCGCTGTCAGGTGCAGTGGGCGGGGCAGTCGGGCACCGTGCCCGGTGTTATGGAGGCGGCTGTGGGCACTGTGAATGAATTCTCCGGGAGGAAAAGGGAAAAAGAAGAAGCCGGCGACCCCAACGGCAGATACAGGTCCCGAGCCCCCAGCTCGCTCGGAGACGTCGCTGCATAAGCGGAACGTGTACGTGTTCTCGTACCCCGTGCTCGCCGCTTTCTCTCTACTTCGTTTCATCGCCTTCCAGCTCGGCTTGCTGTTCGCCTGGTGCTGCGAGCGGCTCTCCCGCAGGGTTATGGCAGACAAGAAGAACGCCGCGGCCCTCAGTGAGCAGGGCGCTCCCTCTGTCAGGACGGCCGCTGCTCAGGACAGGCCGGGCAATGAGCCCGAGGTGGTGCGGGGCTTTCACCAGCAGGCCTTCCACTACATCTCCATGGCGCTGCGCATCGATGAGCAGGAGAAAGGTAGGCAATGTGCTGCTGTATGTAGTCCAATGTCTGTGTACAGTACAGTGACAATGGATGTGCCTGACGTCATGTGTGTCTGATGACAGGCATCTGGGAAGGTGTATATGGGGCTTCCAAATAGACAATCAGGCTGACCGTTCCATGCCTGTACACAGGGCTTCCAAATGAACAATAGGGCTGACCATGCCATGCCTGACCAGGTTTATGGAGGGCTTCCAAATGAACAATAGGGCTGACCGTGCCATGCCTGACCAGGTGTACGGAGGGCTTCCAAAGGAAAAATGAACAGTTTGTGGGCTGACCGTGCCATGCCTGATCAGGTGTACGGAGGGCTTCCAAAGGAACAGTTGGGCTGACCGTGCCCTGATGCCTGATCAGGTGTACGGAGGGCTTCCAAAGGAACAGTTGTGCTGACCCTGCCATGCCTGACCAGGTGTACGGAGGGCTTCCATATTAATAATAGGGCTGACCGTGCCATACCTGATCAGGTTTACACAGGGTTTCAAATGAACAGTTGGATTGACCGTGCCGTGCCTGTACGCAGGGCTTCCAAATGGACAGTTGGACTGACCATGCCGTGCCTGTACGCAGGGCTTCCAAATGGACAGTAGGGCTGACCGTGCCGTGCCTGTACTCAGGGCTTCCAAATGGACAGTAGGGCCGTGCCTGACCGTGCCGTGCCTGTACTCAGGGCTTCCAAATGGACAGTAGGGCTGACCGTGCCGTGCCTGTACGCAGGGCTTCCAAATGGACAGTAGGGCTGACCGTGCCGTGCCTGTACGCAGGGCTTCCAAATGGACAGGGCTAGGGCTGGGCTTCCAGTGCCGTGCCGTGCCTGTACGCAGGGCTTCCAGCTGGACAGTAGGGCTGACCGTGCCGTGCCTGTACGCAGGGCTTCCAGCTGGACAGTAGGGCTGGACAGTAGGGCTGACCGTGCCGTGCCTGTACGCAGGGCTTCCAGCTGGACAGTAGGGCTGACCGTGCCGTGCCTGTACGCAGGGCTTCCAGCTGGACAGTAGGGCTGACCGTGCCGTGCCTGTACGCAGGGCTTCCAGCTGGACAGTAGGGCTGACTGCGCTATGCTTGAACACCGTTCAATGCCTGTACACAGGGCTTCCAACTTAACAATAGGGCTGACCATACCATACCTGACCAAGTTTACACGGTGCTTCCAATCAACAATTTGGCTGACCAGGTTTACATAGGGCCTCCAAATGAGCAATTGGGCTGACCAAGTGTACACAGTGCTTCCAAGTAAACAACTGGACTGTACACCAGGTCAGGCATAGCACAATCAGCCCAATTGTTAACTCGCACTGCTACCGACACTTTCATCTTCACCCGGTCTTCCTTCCAGGTTTGTGTTCTCTGGGAGTTTGAATAGCTTGGCCACGATGATATCACTCCAGTAAATGCACGCCAGAGTCACCATTGTGGTACCATTGTGGTAGGCACTCTGCAATCCTGGCACACTCTGTGCTGTAAATTGCAGAGTGTACTGAACATGCGCCACTGATGTTATTGGCATGAGCCAATGGCAATATCTACTAAAAAGCGCAGATTTAGGAACTTTCCAAAGTACTTACAGAAAAGACTTCTTATAATCTTAACTGTGGATTGAAGTTTAAAAGAAGAGTTAAATACCACTTTAAATGATAAGCTCACCTTTGTGAACATGTTACACCAATATGTGTATAGAAAACCTTCAGCTCAATGAAACTTGTCCAGCAAGAAATGCAGCGCAACAATAAAATATAAATCGTGATAATCAATCTGCTGTGCTCGTGAGGATCAATATATTCTACTCAAGATATCTTCCAATGCATACATATAGACTCCTATAAAGACTGCACATAACCAGTGCTATAAATAGGGCACACAAATACAAACTAAAAAGAAATAATCCTTAATAGTGATGTATTCCCTTTAAATCCTAAATACCATCACGTGGACCTGTGTGGTACACTTCCTGTGTATTGTGATACAAATACACCAACAAAAAGTTTTATATATACACTGCCTGTAACCTCTTTCAGCATGACAGTTTTGATGGTGGGTCAGTGATGGTCTGGGGAGGCATATACATGGAGGGACGCACAGACCTCTACAAGCTAGACAATGGCACCCTGACTGCCATTAGGTATCGGGATAAAATCCTTGGACTTATTGTCAGACCCTACGCTGGTGCAGTGGGTCCTGGGTTCCTCCTGGTGCATGACAATGCCCGGCCTAATGTGGCGCGAGTATGCAGGCCGTTCTGTGAATGAGAGAACTATAAGTACCATCATCCATTGTGGCTGGGAGTTTTTAGTTCGCTGATTATTATTATTATTATTATTATTCAGTATTTATAAAGCGCCAATAGTTCGCTCAGCGCTGTACATTACAAAGGGGGACAGAACATGTGACAGAACAATACCAATACAATGCAAAACATGAGGGGATCGAGGGCCCTGCTCTTTCAAGCTTACAATCTAGGAGGGAGGGGATGGTGGCACAGGAGGAGATAGCTGTGGGGGATGGAGTGGTAGGAAGAGTGGAGGAGGTCGGCAAGTTAGCAGGGGCGGGGTAGGCTTCCCTGAAGAGATGGGTTTTCAGGGTGCGCCTAAAGGAGAGGAGAGTAGGTGATAATCTGATGGGTTGGGGCAGGGAGTTCCAGAGGATGGGTGACACCCTGGAGAAGTCCTGGAGGCGGGCATGGGAGGAGGAGACCAGGGAACTAGAGAGAAGGAGGTCTTGTGAGGAGCGGAGTGTGCGTGCTGGGCGGTACTTGGATATTAGGTCAGTGATGTAGTTCGGGGCAGTATGGTGGACAGCTTTGTACGTCAGTGTTAGGATTTTGAATTTGATCCGTTGCGCAATCGGAAGCCAGTGGAGGGATTGGCAGAGGGGGGTGGCGGAAACGGAGCGGTTGGAAAGGTGAATGAGTCTGGCAGCCGTATTCAGGATGGACTGAAGCGGGGATAGCCAGCGGCGAGGCAGGCCAGTGAGGAGGGAGTTGCAGTAGTCGAGTCGCGATATGATGAGGGAGTGGATGAGCTGTTTAGTGGTTTCTGGAGTTAGGAACGTGCGGATTTTGGCGATGTTGCGGAGGTGGAGTCTGCATGAGTTTGTTAAAGAGTGGACTTGGGGCTGGAAGGATAGGTTGGAGTCCAAAATGACACCAAGTACTCTGGCCTGCGGGGCGGGTTTGATGGTGGCGTTGTTGGACATGATGGAGAAGTCAATGGGGGGTGGTGTCCGGCTGGAGGGAAGACAAGAAACTCGGTTTTGGAGAGGTTCAGTTTAAGGAAGTGGAGCGACATCCAGTCTGATATGTCGCTCAACAGGTGTGTGATTCGGGCGGAGACCGAGGGGGTGAGGTGGGGGGTTGAGAGATAGATTTGTGTGTCGTCGGCATAGAGGTGGTAGTTGAAGCCGTGAGAGTGTATGAGTTGGCCAAGGGAGGAGGTGTAGATGGAGAAGAGAAGGGGCCCGAGGACAGAGCCTTGGGGGACCCCAACAGAGAGGGGGAGTGAGAGGGAGGTGGTGGCATTATAGGTAACGCTGAAAGAGCGTTGTGACAGGTAGGATGAGAGCCAGGAGAGAGCAGAATCTCTGAGGCCGAGGGATGATGAGAGCTCTGGTAGTTCTTTCTTCTTCCTATGATCTCCCTGCCATTCAGTAACTGCCTGCCCGTATCAGAGGTTCGGGCAGACAGCTACACAGACACTCTGCAGGTGCCTGACAATGCACCCGCGAGTGTTGATCGTGGGCACAATGCTTTACAGGCTCCCACAAAAATAAATAGATGCACTTTTTTTTTTAAACTGCAAATTGTAAACGCAAAGCGCATCAAAAGCGAAATACATGCTTTTCTGCAGCATTTCCATTGAAGTCTATAGAACCAAAAATGCAATGTTCGTGCAAAAACAAAAGACGCACCATTGAAAATGCAGAGATGTGAACCTGTTCCATAGGAAATCCCTAGGTTCACACCTAAGAGGTTTCCGCAGCGTGTTGCAGAAATGCACTACAGTCCATTAACATGATTTCCTATGGGACAAGTTCACACCTCAGTGTTTTCACCCGGTGCATTTTTTGGAAAGGGGTCAGGGACTTTTTTGAATGCAAAAAGCTGTGTTTTTGGTTCGATAGACTTCAATGGAAATGCTGCAGAAAAGCATGTACTGCGTTTTTTGCTGTGTTTTGCATTTTAAATCTGCCTAGCAAAAAGAGAAAAATGTAACCCCCCCCCCCCGCAAACCGCTTTCTGAAGAGTGATCATCATTCAGACTGCACTTTAGAAAACATTTGACGGGTGTCGATGAGTTGGGTTTTTTTTTTTGTTTAGCAAAAAATAAAAACCCCAGTGGTGATTAACCTCTTTACGCCAGCAGAACGCAAATGTGCGGCCTCCCGGCGTCTGGGCCTAGACACCGAGCGGCCGCACCTTTGCGTTTATTAAAAAAAGAACATGTTATTTACGAATGAAAATCCTTTGAAAATAATGCCTCGGTTTACAAATTTTTTTTCGCAATACGAAGAAAGTTTCCGCAGGATGCATTGTGCCTGGGAGGTTTATAGAGCCGACCCCCGTGCCTTTTACAGTGCACTTTATAAAGAGTTTTGAACAGATAAGACTTTTTTCAGACCTTCAGAACGGATTAATTGGTTTTCAATGCATTTACAAATTTTTTTTTTTTTTTTGCAATATGAAGCCAATTTCCTCAGGATGAATTGCGCCTGGAAGGTTTAAACACTGGCCCCATGCAAGCTGGAGTCTGGAGCCATTCTGGAAATTTTTTTTTAACATGTTCCTGTACAGTATTTATGCCTTTAAAGTGCACTTTATAAAGAGTTTTTAACAGATAAAAGATATATATATTTTTTTTCTAACTTTTTTTTCTGATCTCCAGAACGGATTAATTGGTTTTCATTGCATTCCTATGGGAAACCGCGTTTCGGTTTACAAATTTTTTGCAATACGAAACGTCCCGAGAACGCATTAAATTTGT